ATACATAGAATGTGTAAAAGCCAAATGGAATAAATTCATCATTTCGGTTACGGTACATATTTTTACAAAATCCCGAAACAAGTTAGATTTAAATTATAATTTGACATACTTCAACGGAAAAATGCTACCCCTACCTTCAAACCCCGTCGAATGACAATACAACCATCAATTTTTCAAATGGGAAATATAGGCTTGTGATATATCGTTTAAAAGGTATCTTTATTTTCTATTCAAAAATTTTAACGCTTTCAAGTTTATTGCAACAAGTGATAAAATAAATTAAAATCATATGGTTACCGAAATTTGATAAAATACACTCCAAACTTATTGTAACATACCCAAAAAACACATTTCATGTTGAGGTATTGATAATAATAAAGTAAGCAAAAACCATAGCAATGTTTTTTTCAGATAGTATACTTTAAAAAACTGTAAATAGTTTTCGTGGCAACGTTAATTTAAAACGCCTTGTTAACTTGTTTTGTATGTTACAACATTAGCTGACACTATTTCAATTTAAGTTCAAAGTTCGTTAACTTCAAGTCTGACAAATGGTTATATTAATGGAAATGAATGAAATAACAAATGATTAGTTTCGGAGATAGAACCCAAACACAATATTAAGTAGCTCACCAACTTCATGAGAAATTTCCTAATTTACCAACCATATCTCTAGGAACAATAAGCAAAATAGAGAAGCAGTTTCGCGAGATTGGTCATGTGGAGCAGATAAAAAAAGCAGCTGCCAATGCACTAAGTTATGAACTCAAATTAGATGTGATGCTTGAGTTGGAGGAAAACCTACATACATCCACTACATTCAATGTTAGCCATACATCGTAAACATATTGAAAGAGAATAAAATGAATCCCTATAAAATGATACATACTCAGGAGCTCATGAAAGACGATTTTGATAGAAAAACTCATTTTTAGAATAATTTATGTTTTCTGCTGAGTGTACTTTGTCTCTTAACGGTTATGCTATTCGGCAAAATTGACACTACTGGTCAACGGAAAATCCTTACTGAATGAGGGAAGAGCACACGCAATATCCTGAAAAGGTTAATATTTAGGCAGGGATTGTAGGATTTGTCTCTTTTTCATTGGTGGCAATTTGACACAATTTTTGGAAGTATCTGACACTACTTCCAAATGATTTCATTCTAAGTTTAGCAAATATGCTGTTCCAGCAAACCGTCAAGTTCCAGTGAATAAGGTAACCACATGATTCTAATTTATCTCAATTGTTGCAATAAACTAAAAAGCGATAACATTTTTGAATAGAGGATGATGAGAACTTTCAAACGATATATCACAAACCTATACTCCTCAATTGAAAAATTGGGGGTACCTGTCATTTGAAGGGTGTTGAAAGAAGGGGTAGCATTTTTACTTTGAAGACTGTCAAATTATGATTTACATTCGACGTGTTTCGGATTTTTTTTCAAATACGTACAGTAACCGAAATAATGAATTTATTCCATTTGGCTTTTACACATTGTATGTGATTTATTTATAATTCAATGTTCATATGTAATTAGTTGCTTCGAAAAGGCTCTTCTTACATATTGTATCTGAAAGTAACTTCTATGCATGATCTACACATTTTTGCGAAAAATTTAATCTGGAATCAACTGCTATCTTTCCATATCCAGCGTATGAAGCTGTAGAAGTGAAAAGCCAAAATCATTTTCTTTTCCAAAAAGTAGTCCGTCCCAAAAATATACCCCATTCAATATATTTTAATGATAATGCTAATGATACCTACTTTTCTTAATCTGAATGTATCCTTATTTATCTGTTTCGTCCAGTTCAGGTGGATCTGAAGTATCTTGATGAGGTCATAGATTTGTTCTCAGTTATGTTATGTCTGGCGATTTTTATGCCTGACGTTTCCTCTGCGACTGCGTTAGTCAGTATCAAAGGCAATAAGCCAACGGGCAAAGTGTTCCAGTTGTCCTCTGTGCAGATATCATGAAGTTTGTTCAGTTCTCCAAATTCATTCCATTGCTGATGAGCATGACTTCATTTCTATCGGTTTAATTTGATTCGGGAGCAATTATTTAGATATAACCAGATGGTACCCAAATTATCGTGTTTGAAGAAACTCAAATCCCCGAGTTACTATCCAAGACTATATATAGAGGAGATGAAAATTCAGAACAGAAGAGGGATTCAACATAAATGAAGTCTGACTGCCTTCACTCAATTGATCCCCGTATCAGGAGGTCACTGAATTGAAACAATAGGAATGAAACCACGCCTAGCACTAATCTAATAAAATTGGAGATCCGAAACAATTTTGTTGCAGCTATTTTGAGGACAAACAAATCACTTCGTCAATTGCTTTATTTTGATAATGTTTACTGCAGTCGTCAATGAATCATCAGACATGAAAACCTGCAGACCACGGCCAACATACCCGAAAAATTGATAAGATATTCAAAGAATTATTATTTGAACCATGATATATCACATGTCTTTTGTTAATTTCATGTCACGGTTATATGAAAAGAATTCTACTGATAATTTTAAATATCCTTCAATTTTCGTGTAGAGTGTTTTCTAGATTCGAAAATAATTGCTCAATTTCTCGGATTTGCACGAATTCCAGAGTTATATAAGTGTGATGATGCGTCGCACCGAAATATTCAGCTGGTTCGTGTTCACTTTCTCTTCACTTTCTTCGAGTCCTTACGATCTGCGTGCAACATTGGCATGTTCAATATTATTTGACTCTTATGTCACTCTTCTTCAAATTATGTTACGTAACTGTACTACATACTAACCTGTTCAATGTTCAAAGAGGCACGGTTTCCTTTCGATGGATATGAGTTGATTGATATCGTAATTTCTATAGAAAAATAGCTCCGGTAATATGAATTATATCTGTTGACATTCATACAGCAAATATCAATATTTCGTTGAGTGTAGGTCAAGATATACTTTATGTGGTAACCTTTTTCCAAACTTGATAAAATACTGCCTCTCGTCTGCGTTCCATTCATCACTTTCCTTCTAGTTGTTGGTCAAATCATTATATTTTCTTCTGCTACCAAGTATTTGTATAGAATATTTTTAGATTTTTTCAAATCTGACGAAGTATCAACTTCATTGACATTGCATATTTTGATAATTAATTTGTTTTTATTACTTCGAAAGGCTATGGATTTGCTACATTCATATTGACAGAAATACAGTCAATAAAATTGTCCAAATCAATCAACTATGAAATAATGAGAGCCAATTTTCGATTGATTCAAGTTAGTAATAAATGAGTATCAAAACCACTTTCTGGATCTACTTTATCTCTGGTATTCAACACAATACTTATAATTTTGTTCCTGTCGATATCATTGGTTTTGTATATATTTCTTTCTTGAGGTGTTTCTTTAAACTTGCCTGTATTTGGATAACATCGGGTAATATTCTTCATGTTGGAGTTTCTCTAGTTTCATTGTTTCTAGGAATGTGTATTGTTTGTGTAGTATATCAAATGTTAGTTAGATTTTGCTGTGTTATGATTTGTATTTGTTTCCTGATGAATTATGACACAGCAAGACCTAACATTCAATATACAACACACATTCTCAGAAACAATAAAACTAGAAAAACTCCAACACAAGCGGTTTTGGCTGATGTAACCCAAATACAGGCAAATTTAAAGAGACATCCGGAAGATAGGAGAGAACAAATACCTGCACAAAGGCGCTTGCATATAATAAGTATAATAAGTAATGTTAATATTAAAATACTCAAAATGAAGAAAAATTTGTTGCATCAATAAAAAAAATGTTGAATAATGATTCTGTTCTATTATCTTTTATGTTATTAGATAAAGAATATTTTTGTTTCACTTCAGAATCCATAATATAAATACTACTATCTTGTTTTGCAGTACACAACTCACTTCTGCTGCTGTATGCACTCTTATATATTTATTCATGATCTTTTTTCCTCGTTATTTGTCCTTGTCCTTTTTGTTTTCTTTCTGTGTAGCAAGTCTAATCCCATTCTCCAAAAACTGTCAATTTATTTCCTATTACATTTATGCTTCGAATAATTCAAGTTCTCAACTTGTATATTTCTTTGTCATCCACCACGTTTTTTGTTTTTCATACTTCCCTAGTTTTGTTTTCATATGTGTGTTCTAATTTTTGACCATTATTTCTCTTCAATTCTTTTTTTTTGTACTATATCCATATGCAATTATCGATTTTCATTCCTTGCAAATGCACTTGAACCTGATTAATTTTTGTTTTTTTATTTCATTCTACGTCTCATTATTTCCTTCAGTTTCTTTTCCGACAATATAACCATTTACATGGATTATGAATCACTTTTTTCAAGTGTTTCGTTTGAATTTTCCATCATTGAAAATTTGTGAAAACTCATCACATTCCATGCAAAATCACATCTTTGTTATATTACTATTAGATTTCTCTTCTAGCCGTTGGTTGTGTCTGAATAACTTTCGTTCTTGGGTTGGTATTACAATGTATTTCGTTTTCACACAAAGGTGTGGATGATGGATTTATCGACTATAATGTGTTAGATATACATATTCCAGTCAACCAAAGTATAATGATAAAGTTTTTAAATATGAATATAATCAACAGTATGAAATACGTGTAATCTATCTCGACAGTTTTCCTCTTTCCACATCAACCTGGAATGCATTATTCAAAAATTCCTTCGCAAAACTTTTATAAATGTTATTTTTAGAAAGGTTATATTTAACCATATTTATTTTCATTGCGAACATATTTTTACATCATAAATATGGTTGTAAAGTAAGAATATGTAATTTAGAATATTGCCGAAACTATTTCTGTTGATATTTTTTTTCATTCTGGACATAATGAAATCCTATTTTCCCTATATTTTTACATCGTTCTTTATATAGTGTGTTTATATATTTGAATAACTCCAAACTGGAATACAATCATTCGTTATTACATAGATGGAATAAATTAAATAAGCCATATATTTGAACAGATTGGAGGAGATGCAGGAGGAGGAAATAATGCCCCTATGGCTGGTGGGGGCTTAGGAGGCTTAACAAATATTTTATCACAAATTGATTTGCCTGGATTGTTACAAGGAATAAATAGTTTCGTAAAATTAGTTGGAGCTTTCTGTCCACCATTGTCACAGGTAATTATGGGAATCATTTTTATAAACACGTAATCACATGATTCAATGAATAATTTCGCGTTTCCGAAATTGGAATTGCTGTCGTCAATGTCACGAAACCAAGGAAATAAGTTTTCCGTGTTCCATAGCCAAGGCACACTTTCCGATCGGGTCATTTAGGTAGCTTTCAAAGTTGATTATCTATAGGAAATTATTATGTATAGAGGTCAATTAATATATTATGAAAGAGGCATTGTGGAAATTACAGTTTAATGGAATAGATTGTTACACATTAATTGAATTAATTTAAAACTATATCTAAATCGAACCAAAATTAGAATTGTCCATTGAATTCATGTGAAGGCGTCCTTCAAGAAATGAAAGTTCATTTTGATTTGAAAACAAGTTTTTGTTCCCCAAATCATTTGTTGGGAATGCAATCTATAACAATAATAATTCATTTCACTAGTTCGGACTTCCATTGTCTACTATATAAAATGATTTGAAATCCCTGAAACAAGTAAAAAAGAATAATTAAAAAAGAATAGTTGAAAATAACAATTATATTAAGCAACAATAAACCTGAAATGAAATGATAGTGAAATAACCTACAAGTAAAAATATAATAATTGAATGAATAAAAATTAAAGGAATGCAAAAAGAAAATAATAAAAAATAAAAAAGTGTAGAGATTTCAAGTCACGTTAGTTCACGACGTTTCGATTGTTGGTATCTACAATCGTCTTCGGGTGATGACTGATCATCGGGTGATGACAATTATTATATTTTTACTTGTAGGTTATTTCACTATCATTTCATTTCATTTCAGGTTTATTGTTGCTTAATATAATTGTTATTTTCAACTATTTTTTTTTAATTATTCTTTTTTACTTGTTTCAGGGATTTCAAATCATTTTATATAGTAGACAATGGAAGTCCGAACTAGTGAAATTCATCACGAAACATTGTCAATCACCTTCAAACAAATAATAATTCACATGAATATCGAATGCAAAAAGGCTAGCCAACCTCAAATAGTTGATGTACTAACTTTTTGTGAAAACTAAGCAGGAACAACTCAATTGAGAAATGTATCTCTTTGAATATAAGGTGAAGAGATATTGAAGATAATTCATTGAGTTATATCGATTTATTCAAACATGTGACAATATGTTTCATTCTGAATTATTTTTCAAGCACAAGTATGTTTGGAGCCATGAATGTCAATGAAGTTGAAAATCGATTCTGATAGTTAGATCACAACCAAATACATAGCACTACTGTAAGTGCTTTTGGATGATTAGGATGATTAATCAGTTCAACTTCATGATCCATTTCAATCTCAACCCTTCGTCAGCTTGCTTGGGTGTGTGAATTCCATGGACGTTTATAGTTAGGAAAGATTAAACACAAACTAGTGAGAATTATTGTCTCAAATCATTAATTTCAGATTAGATTTTTCCATATAATAAAAAAAAGTCGAATAGAGTATCTTTAAATGCACGTTCAGATAATTCTATCAATGGAGTGAGAAAACGTATTAAAATAAATATTTCATAATAAAATATCTCATCAGGAAGCGATCGATGAAAAAGTAAACAAAACATCAACAAAAAAGTACAAGAAGTCCAATTGTACTCATTTCTAGAAATATTTCAGTGAGTGATGTAAATACTCCTGAAATAATACAAAGTCTCATGAGACGTTTTCGAAACATGTTATAAGGAATGATTCTGGGTAGATTTCGGAAAACAAAATTAAAAAAGTTCTGAAGAGATTTGGTTCCTTCCTTCAGTACAAACTCATGAAATTTTCTTTCAAAACACTGAAGTCAAACTCTTGAGGAAGGAAGTAATTGTTATTTGAAGTAGGTACTTATTATATCAGATGGATATTTTTCGAACCATTTTTCATTGAGTAGTAGAATATTATATGATTAATAATACATAATTCTTTCGTGAATTCAGGTTGTAGCATCATATAAGAATGAAAATTTTTATAAATCTGATTTCGAACACATACACTTTCATACTTCCAACGGGCATCTACTTTTCCATAGAATAAAATTTTTATTACACTTTTAGGTTTTGGATAATGTTATACAAAATGTAACAAGCACTGCATTCAGAGTATTTGGACGAGCAATTCTGCAAGGAGGAGGATTGGGAGGATCCGGAGGTGGGGGTGGGGGTGGGCAAAAAGTCAGCGTAGTGCTTCCCACCTTCCCACCAGATGACGACGACGAAGATTACGAGGATGAAGATGATGCAGAAAGTAGCTCATCAGCTTCTCTTGTACAGTTGGATGGAAAGAGTGCTATTTCTGACAGTGACACTACTAGTGATTCACAAAATGAAGCCATTGTTCTAAGATCTGATGACGAAACTAGCGATGGTTCAGATTCTGGTGTCATGAATACTGAAAAGAATGAAAAAAGTGAAACAGAAAATATTCCCTCATCACTTTACACTGTGAGATTTCAGATTTGTTGTGAACATTTTCAGCATTTCAAGAGAAACTTTCTTTATCGTGATTCATTCTTATGTTTTCCACTACATATCACAAAATTCACCAATGTTTCATTTGTTTTGAATAATATTATTGCAACTGATGTAATCGATCTCGTTCACATCCCATTCATAGTGAAAATATTTCCTTTCCTTGTTTTTCTGATTGAATATAAGTTTAACAATAATAACCAATTAATTTCAAGACAAACTATTTCATCACTGTCAAAAATTTGTTGTATAAATATTCTAAAATGATTTAAGACATTATATGATAACAACAATCCTTGTCAGCTAGGTTTTAGTAGGTATAATCGATATCAACAGAAAATAATTGATTTTTGAGAATATAAAAATCAACTTACTGTTGAACGATGATCTTTTTTACGTTCATTTGAATTTAACTGTCCATACCTGGATAGTCTGAAGTACAAAAGAGTTATTGCTTTCCAATCTTTCCAGTGAGATTTGCAATATACTGAAGGCTGTTATATCCTTCGTATTGTTTGCTACCACCAAGTAACTTTGACATAAGTTGAATTAAATATTCAGTTCATTATCGTGAATATCGTTATCGTGAAAAAATACTTTTTTCAGTTATTTTCTACTTTACAAATGACGATGCGGATAACTTCTCAACGGAGAAAGAACAAAATACCTATGGAATAACAATAGAAAAATTTCAAAGAAAAATGTACATTCGCCAAATGTTTTTTAAGTCGTGATTCGGAGGAATATTTCAACTGAAATAATCCAATGAAATGAATCACTTCTGAACTAAACTATGGTCGGAGTTATGATCTCTTCTACAGCATTAGAGATATAACTTTGCAGTTAACGCACACATGACTAATTGATGTCTGCCGCAGTAGTAGACGAAACATTTGGTACATGTTCGATTTGACTACGGCCTTTCTACTCGGATTTTGTTCTTTCCCATCTTGACTTGGGCCCCAAAAGTCTTCATTCTTATATTAGTCAAATCCGTTATGAAGTATCATACCTTTCTCAACTATTACTGTGGCACAATGTATATGTTCACAACAATATCAAAAATTCAAAAAGTATAGTAAATAATCATATAAATAGTAATAAAAAGTTATAGTTTGTATAATGAACGCATTTTCTACAGGATATGAAGATAGATATCCCACAAAATAACACATAATGAAATGTCAGGTTCCAAAAAATATTTATTTCATCTTCGATAGGGAATATTTTTCCATTATTTTCAAAACGAAGTGTGCTTATCATACTTATAGTCAGTTTGCCGTTATCTATTCAAAAGATGGCTGAAAATGCTTTATATCCTCTGATACCTGATAGATCTAAAAAACTCAAATGAGCAAATTCCATTTGAGTTTTTTGTTATGGATAAATATATGGAAATATTCCATTATAAATACTCCATTAGAAAAATATACAGGTTGATTTTCGTACAAGAATAAAAAATTCATTATTTTTTCGTAATCTGTTGAGAAAAATAAAACGTTTTTCAACTGTTTACGAAAAGTAGGCTAGGTAGTTTGACACTGATAATAATTTTGAAGGATATCACTACTTTATATGTCAGAAATATAAAAAAATAATTAAATCGAATTGTCGCCCAGACAAACTGCTATTCACTATTCAAAAAAAGTATTTTTATATGGAATCCTGTATTCAGTTTCTGAACACAAATTGCCAGAGACATTCCTAGGGAAATCAATAACTCTAGAGGAAATTTTAACATATCAGTCTACATAACCTCAACACGTGTTTCACTAAACAATAGCTTTTGAATCTAAAACGCCTATACAAATGTTATCGTCCAGTTGAATGGAATATAATATTCAAATGGTGTTATGAAGTGTATCAAATATTTCCATGGAGTCTCGAAAAATTATATCATCACATACCTCATTTCAGAGGCAGATTTCTTCTGTTCGTATAACTACGAAGAGCCAATCTATGGATAAACACATATTCCAAAATTATAACAATAATATTGTTGTCAATCGTTGTGAACACTTATTTTTACTAATGAAACATTTTTGCAGTAGCGATTTATACAATATTTAACCTATCAGTATTCAGTTGCGCTCCTCTGGTCTATTAGTGATCACGAAAATAACACTTAGGTCAATATGCTCCATTCAAATTCATTTCAAAGAAATATTTGACTCGCTCGAAAATTTACCTAAAACCTCATAAGTGAAATAAAACTCTTGAACTAATTTCTAGTTGAAAACTACTACATTGAAGGTTTTTGAAGTACGAAGCACGAAGAAATATGAATCATCTGTCCTCTTTTCTAAGAATCATCTATTATTTTCCAATACCTCCTTGCTTTTCATTCAGGAAACCAACAGACACTAATGGTTTTCTCTTTTTCTTACAGTCTCCTGCCAACGATGAGAGCAATCTCATTGCTAAGAGGCACGTGAGGGTGACGAGGGAAGTGGATGACTCCGACCAAGAGGGAGCCGAATCTGCGCCTGTTCCAGAAGATTTAGCGAACATAGAAGAAGACGACCAAGATCGTAACAAGAGATTCCTACCTTTCGGAGGCGACGGTCATGCCTCTGGAGGTTCAGGGAATTTCTTGTTCGATATAATTAGGGTAAGCAATGGGTCATAGGGGTCGGACAGAGCTTAGGTGCCTAGTCTACTTTGTTCCTATTCCCTACGAAGTTATAGTTGGTGAGCAATTGAGTAGGTAGACTGAATTCTATAACTGATCATTAGTGTCTCTGTGATTGAAAATTACAAGTGGTAGTTGAAACATTCTCAGGTGACTTTTCAAATTTTTCAACTGAGAATATTTCCATCAGTTCAACGCATTTTTTACCGAATTTAAATGTCCGTTCCATACATTAAAATCTTAAATACCTTCAATTTTTGCGGACTATGCTGGTATTGGATGGTGAAAGAGAAGCATATTGAAAAAGTACAAATTATGAAATTTTCATTCAACCAATTCAGAAAATGGCTTCACTTGATTCATTAAATAATAAAGCTCCTACATATGTTTGATTTCTAATAGGTTAAAATCGGAGATGCGGTTTTTTGAACTATTTTTTTGAAAATCACACAAAATAATACTTTTGCTACGTCAAAAACAAACATTCCGTTTCATAGTGCATGAATGGAGAATCAATTTGAGATATTTCATTAATAATATTTGGTGAAATATAGCGGTAGTTATTGCTCGAAAAATCATCTTCATTGGTCGTACAGAAAGTGTTAACGTATGACCTGAATTCAACAATGTTTGCATCAAGCCACAGAACTCCCATAGTTTCAGTTCACAAACAGGTATCCATTTTTTCTCCAGTTATTCAATACTTTTGTTGTTCATTAATAAATAGATAAATAAAAAGAAACGAATAAACACAAACATTAGCTAAAAAATAAATACACAGCCTTATTTTTCGAAACGTTTTTGTTTTTTCTAAAAATGACACGTCTTAGAGTTACCCAGTTCACAACCTTGGGTTTTATTTTATATTTGACAACGTAACTTTATACTGTTGTAAATCGCAGGAGTAGCCTACCACGAGAAGGTTTAGCCCACCTACCATTCCTTTTCCTTTGAAAATTTGAAAACCCCCGATGAAAGTGTCGTTTTATATTTGGCAAACATGCTCTGTACCAACTTATATGTTTTTAAAGTCATCAATTATATGGATGCACTAATGTTTCCTAATGGTAGAATTTGGAAAAAACCCAGATGAAGCTGTTTTTTTATATCTAACCAAGATGCAAAATATCAAACTTCGTGTGTACAGTATTAAAAATCACGATGGTCTAGCTTCCTTCTTTCAATATTCAAATGTAAATTAGGAAAACTCCACTTTTGATGAATAGAAATATACAAATAATATTTGATCAAATAAAGTTGAAAGAGTGTGAAAAATCAGTCTTGTTTCACTTTAAAAATAAATTGCTCACGGACTATAACTTGAAACAAAAAGAGACCTGAAATATTTCAGAGGTTGTTATATTATATAATATTTTTTCCAAAATCACATCATGATATGACTTTGATCGTGTATATTGAGTTCTATCACAAATTGTATTCCTTCATTTCATTTATGAAAATATATCACGAATTAATGAGCTTTCAATAATAAATACTCTCAGAAATTCAGTTTCCATGGATAATCATTTTGCATTCCTGATGGGAAGTAATACATGCATCTGAAGCAAAGTGATTGTTTGTGGAATATATCTATTCCAGAATCAAATTTCCTGATTTTCCGCATGGATTCAACTTTTTGTTCGTTGACATTAAATTCGTAACTACAGAAATCTCATAATGAACAATGATTTTCAATCAAACTTTTGGGTCTCTTGTATCCCCTGTAGATAATTCCCAACTTTTGTAAACCTTCCCAACCTTTATACCTACTTAGATAAATTTCGATTCGCTGTTTACAACTCACTATTTGAAGTGACTGTATTGTGCAATTTTTCATTATCGCTAATTGCGTTATGTATGTCAATGGACTATGTAAATATGTGAAATTAACATTAAATCCAAGTTTTTTTATTGAATCAGTTTGAATTTTACTTTCATTTTTTTATCCTAAAGGACGTGTACTGTAATATCTTTTATTATTGCATAGCGTTCAATTATGTGTAAGTACTGCAATAAATGTGTAACCACTGATTTATAGTGATTGTTATTATTTGTCTTTATCACAAGTTGAAAGAGTGAATGAAAACTGTTTCATCATGAAACAAATGAATAGAGATATTGTTTGTCATCATATTTCATTATGATTATTCAATTTATTCGCGTTGAATGTATGTTGCTAATCTTTGAAAAAATGTAAACAACTCGTGAATATTTCGAAACATGAGGTAATCAATTGGAGAATTCTACTGAAATTATTTTGAGAGCCAATAAACCTATAACATCAGTACTAGTAATTACAATGAATGAGAGGATGTGTTAATTTAAGAAAATTTGTCATGAATAAATCAAAGTACAGTTCATTTTTCCTTCCTAGATAATATTGCATTTGATATTACAAATTTATATATTTCCAATCATCTAATGATGAATATATCATCTTTGCGACTGCATAACACATAAAAAAAATGTAAACATATTTTGATAACAATATGGTTAAATTACCTGATTAGTAGGTTTCTATAGTCCATGCCTAATTGACCAGATTTTAGATGTTATTGAAACTCGTTTTGATCATTTCGAATAACTTCTCGCAGAATTATCCTATACTCATGTCTTATTTGTACCTTCAATTCCTCCATATTGTCCGGCTCCATCTTATAAACTCTATTCTTTTATTAACTAGTTACTACAATAAAAAGTAGTTCATTCTTACACTACATAGGCATCTTTGTAACTACTCATTTGGCTTGGAATACTGCGGCAAAAAAAAATTGCAGACCTCAGGAATTGGATAGGAGTACTATCTTGCTGAAGCCAGATGTTTCTATTGGAGACTTCCTCTTCGTTATCAAGAAACAATAAATACTTTTTTTTATTCAAGAACGATATTCGATTAAAATCGATTCATCTGAGAACAAAATGATGCCTGTGTTGGTTTAACGAAATCATCTTCAGTCAATTCCCAGAGAGTACTAATAACAAAACATGACAGATACTAAACTGGACTTTTAAAGGTGATTTACAATTATTCATCGATAGTAACTATTGAAACTCGTGAACGGTGTAGCAGTTTCTTTCGATGAGATACTTTTCAATTGTCTTTTGAATATGCAGATATTCATTGGGTCCTTAATAGAAACATCTAGCTTGTTATATAGTTTGGGTCAGAGGTATAGATAACTCTTCTCATAGAGGTTCGGTGAGGATTCGCTATCACCAACCCTCTAGCGCTAGTTGCGAATGGGTGATCTTGTTGATTTGCCCTAATTTTTTCTCCATTCTTATAAACGTAGAGACACAACAACAACAGAGGAGCGCATCCCCCAATTCAAGATTCCATAGCGCAAGTGACAGCCAATAGTTGTATAATACAGATTTAGGAGAACCTCTCTTCCACAATGATTCGACATAAATCTTAGTGCATAACAGTTCTTTCGTTGTAAATCTATATGAAGACTCCAACTGAGCTAATGATCTAGAATTATATATAGCATTTTTGTTTTTGGGTTGAATGTAACCTCTAGATGGCTATCTCCATGTATTTTGAGAGTTTCGGTGGTGTCCTGCATTGATCACTGGTATGCTCGAATCAATTAACCGCCTCCAACAAATCCACCAACACTTCCATTTTGGGTATTAGCCAGTCGCTTTCATTTCCTAGGAGGCGACCTAAATCCGGTAGAACACCCTTCCAACAGACACTTGTGATATCTTTGATTCGCCTCATCTCTCCAAGGATACATCCTTCATTTAGCCAACTCTCATCCAGATAATAAATCTCGAAATTATAACGTCAAAACTTTCTTAGACAACTCTTCAGCAAATAATTGTACCATTTTTTATTGAGAGCAATTTTTTTCTGCTGAATTTCAAATCCTTCAAAGATTTCCAAAATTCGTTGAAAACATAATTTGGTCTTCTTTGAATTTTCGTAATATTTTGTACAGGCTTGGTATTTCTTCCTCATGATAAAATGAATGTATTGTTTTTTTATTTGCAAGTATGTAGTTTGCATTATCGAGCACAGTATTTCCTCCTGAAGATGGTTTTGGTGATTTCAGTTTCATTTATTCTCTTATTCCTAAATTTGTATATCGATGATTTTGAAATTCCCTTTCTTTGCGAACACATTTCAACCAGAGTATCAATGGTATAGGAAGGATTTTGGTGTGGTGGTGACAACATCATATTTGTTGAGTATACTTATCTTTCCATTTATAAAAGAAGCACATTTGCTCATTCCTTTCACTGGAGAGGAAACTATAGTTACCATTATAATTCATGCACTAATAACTAACAGTAATAACAATACTGATTAAGTCGCACGGGCTATACCATTGATTCGTATTCTTCAGGTAATGAAGTACCTAGCTAAAGCACTCTCAAACCGGATCCAATCATAATTTCCTATCCAATTTTGGGTGTTCCATATAAAATCTAGTAATTGCAAGTGTTCCATATACTCACCATTTACATACGACAATGAAAAGTCCATTGGGATCAATTTTTAACTGGCTCAGTTATGTACGCCTATGAAACAGGTACTTGAAAATGGTTTATCACTTCACTGCTTTAGGAAAAAAGACTATAATAGATGTGTGTATTGATTTATTGCATTTTTATATACAAAGAAAGTCGCATTGTATAATCTGCAAAACAATAATGGGAATCAGCAAATCCAAGGATAATTGAATTGAAATGAAATTGGCAGCTAGAACTGAAATCTCTATTTTTGAGTGAATCCAAAATAAGTACTTTTTCTTGACATCAAAATTGCAACACTCTTCTCGATGGTCGTTTCACTGAAGTCTACTCCATTCCCAAAAGACACCAATATGGTAGGTGAAACGCGCGTCGAGAAGAGTGTTGCAGTTCTGGTTGGTAATAGTGCTCGATTCGGATAACGTCATTTTGATAACACAAAGATTCAAACGATGCCGTATAAGGTTTCAGTGTTGGAAAAATAAAAGAAAATACTG